TGTCTGGGGAGGTAGGGAACTGCAACCCAACAATCCTTCTGAGTATTCTAGATTCGTTCTTTCCTTGGCTCTATCCAGAGGTAAGCCCAGGATAATAGACATGACATCCTCAAATCTCACTACCCTGATGACTTCCAGCCCTCCCACCGATGCCACTTATGGAGCCAGCTACCGACTCGGTGTTTGCACTCAACTGCCTAATGGCATCTCACACTTAACAGGTACACAGCTGAGCAGCTGAGTCCCACCTGGCCACCCACACCCAGAGCCTTCTCCACCTCAGGGTCTGGAGCCGTAATTCTTCCCTGACCACGTCTTCACACCCCACTTCCAAATCTTGTCAGTTTGGCTTTAAGATGCCCCCACCATTTCTGACTTTCCTTTTTTTTTTTTTTTTTTTCTTTTTTTCAGACAGGGTCTTACCCTGTCACCCAGGTTGGAGTGCAGTGATGCAATCATAGCTCACTGCAGCCTTGACCTCCTGGGCACAAGTGATCTCCCACCTCAGCCTCCCAAGTAGCTGGTACCCGAGGTACACACCCCCACGCTTTTATTGTTATTGTAGAGACAGGGTCTCCCTATATTGCCCAGGCTGGTCTTGGAACTCCTGGGTTCAAGTGATCCTCCCACGTTGGGTCTCCCAAACTACTGGGATTACAGGTGTGAGCCTCACACCTGGCCTCTGATCATCTCTTACCTCTTCAACCGCCACCATACTTGGTCCAAGCCACTACCATTTTTTTGCCTTCTGCCTGGTCTTCCTGCTGCCACATTTATGATGGAAGTCAATTCTCAACACAGTGTCCAGGATGAGCCTGTTAAACCTAAGTCAGGTGATCTCCACTCCTCTGCTTGGCCCACCCCTTCATGGTAAACACTCAGATTATTAGGATGCCTGCCAAGATCCCATGTGCTCCAACCCTCCCTCACTCCTGCCCACTATGGCTCCATGCCGGCCGCACTGAACTCTTCGATACACTAAGCCCACTCTCATCTCACGGCCTGTGCACTGGCTATTCCTGTGCCACTCATGCTCTTTTCCGTTGGTCTCAATCCAAATGTCTCCTTCTTGGAGAGGACAGGCCTTCCGTAATCACTCCAATTAAAGAGAGCCATACCCCGGGCTGGGGCGTTGTGGCTCATGCCTGTAATCCCCAGCGACTTTGGGAGGTTGAGGTGGGTGGATGGTTCAAGCCAGGAGTTTGAAACCAGCCTGGGCAACGTGGTGAAACCCCATCTCTACTAAAAATACAAAAATTGGTAGCCGGGTGCGGTGGCTCAAGCTGTAATCCCAGCACTTTGGAGGCTGAGGCGGGTGATCATGAGGTCAAGAGATTGAGACCATCCTGGTCAACATGGTGAAACCCGTCTCTACTAAAAATACAAAAAATTAGCTGGGCATGGTGGCGCGTGCTGTAATCCCAGTTACTCAGGAGGCCGAGGCAGGAGAATCGCCTGAACCCAGGAGGCGGAGGTTGCGGTGAGCCGAGATCGCGCCATTGCACTCCAGCCTGGATAACAAGAGCGAAACTCCGTCCTCAAAAAAAAAAAAAAAATACAAAAATACAAAAATTATCAGGGCAAGGTGGTGTGCGCCTATAGTCCCCAGCACTCAGGACGCTGAGGTGGGAAGATTGATTGATTGAGCCCAGCAATTGAGTGAGCTTAGACCATGCCACTGCACTCCAGCCTGGGTAACAGAGTGAGAGCCTGTCTCTAAATACATTAAATTAATAAAGAAGCAATACCCTTCCTCCTCCACGCTCCCTATTCTCATTACCCGGCTTAATTTTTTTTTGAGACGGAGTTTCACTCTTGTTGCCCAGGCTGGAGTGCAATGGCGCGATCTCGGCTCACAGCAACCCCCGCCTCCTGGGTTCAGGCGAATTCTCCCGACTCGGCCTCCTGAGTAGCTGGGATTCCAGGCACGCGCCACCTATGCCCCAGCTAATGTTTTGTATTTTCAGTAGAGACGGGGTTTCACCATGTTGACCAGGATGTCTCGATCTCTTGACCTCAGGTGATCCACCCGCCTCGGCCTCCCAAGTAGCTGGATTATAGGCGTGAGCCACCGCGCCTGGCCTACCCGCTTAATTTTTTCCCTCAGCTTTCATTGCCCTCTTATGTACATTTAGATTGTTTATACTGGCCCTCTTCCTCCTCTCATCCAAACTGACTTATTACTGTCCATTTTCCACCGGTTCTGCTTTTTAATATCATAGATTGTTGTTATTTACTGTTTTTGTTATAAGCTCCTTCTAATCCATTATGGAATAAAAAGATACATTAAAAGGAACCAGATCATTATCACCTGGCTTAGGCAGAGCTGTTAATCAGACCAGTGCTTCGAGTATTTTTCCCGCCAGGGTTGCCAACAAGCAAAAGGAGCAAACCGATATGCCTTCCTACCCCTCGAGCTTTAGGAGAGAAGCCTGAGGCTGCCACTAAAAAAGCCAAATGTTCTTGAGACTTTACCTTCTGTGGGCATTCTACACTATATTTCCTAATACATTTACATGGATTCAATTATAAACCGTCTCAAAGATTTCCCTGTAAAAATAACTGCATCAATAATGTGCTCCATGTAAAATGCTACTGATGGGGGGCTCCTGGCTTCCTGTCCACCCTCGCCTCAGGGACCTTCAGAACTCAGGGTTGGGGAGTTGGCGGGGGAGGGGACGCTGGGAACACCAATTTCCTTTGGGCAAGTGAATTGCTGGAGCTGGGTAGGGCATTGGCAGAGTTTTTGAGTCCTAGTCCCAGCTCTGGCACCTACTGCCTTGGGCAGGCCCCTCCACTATAGTTTGGCCTGAGTGTCCTAAAAGGTTTGGGGTTTTTTGTTGTTGTTTTGTTTTGGTTATTGGTTTCGCTCTGTCTCCAAGGCTGGAGTTACAGTGGCACCATCTCTGCTCACTGCAACTTCCGCCTCCCTGGTTCAAGAAATTCTCCTGCCTCAACTTCCCAAGTAGCTGGGATTATAGGTCCCCTGCCATCACACCTGGCTACTTTTTGTATTTTAGTAGAGATGGGGTTTCGCCATGTTGGCCAGGATGGTCTCGATTTCCTGACATCAAGTGATCCGTCCACCTCCACCTCCCAAAGTGCTGGGAATTACAGTTGTGAGCAACTGGCGCCCGGCCGGTTTGGGATTTAAGCTTAGTTCCCACAGGCTGAATGTAACTGTGGGCCTTCACTTCTGAACATGCTCTGATGGAAGAAGAAGGAAGATGGTGGTGACAGCAGGACCAGGGCTGGATGGCTGACGGGTGCTCTGGCAGGACATGGGCTAAGGCAGGGAGGCCTCAGGGGGGTGGTGCTCCTGGGAGGACCCAGAGCTGGGGCCTGCTCAGGCTTGGCTCTCTTCTGTGCTGTAGAAACTCTGCAGTGAAGGTGGACGGAGAGCCCAAGCTACTTCTGGGGCTGGGCTTTGCCCGAAGGTGGGGAGGGTGCCCCATCCAATCTTCCAAAAGAGGGCAGAGCTACCAACTCATCAGTGCCAACCATCTAAACCACAGGCCAAGAACACAGCCCTCCTAGGTCACCCTGTCCTCTCCCTCCCCACTCAGGCACCTCTGTGGAGGTGACTCTTCCCATCCCTGCATGTCACTTCCACCCTCAGGAGGTGCGCTTGGTCCAGAGCCCAGCCCCTGCCCACCCATCAAGTGACCACATCTCTGGGAAGGAGGCAGCTCATCTGGAAGAATGTCAATTCTTCCATAAGGATCACACTGTCATCTCTGAATTACCACATATCTCATAGACACCTTCGGGGCATTATGACACCGCATTTATCGATGAGGAGGGTGAGACGCAGAGCAATTTGTGTCACTTGCAGCTCATGGAGCTGTTGGGTAGGGGCTGGCCACAGACCTTCCAGGCATCTTTCCTCCCTGTCACTGTGCTCAGCGTTTAGGGGTGGGAAAGGGGGTAAGAATCTCAGGGGAGTGAAAAGAAAACCAGGAAAACTTAACCAAGGATATAGAACATGCATTTCATAAGCCACCCCTGGTGTCGTAACAAAGAATACATACCTGTGTGCTTATTATTCCTAGAATAGCTTTGAAGGAGCACACCGTGAGGCCAGCTATAGTAGCTGTTCCTGGAGTGGGGAATGTGGTGACTGAAGAAATAGAATGAAAAGGAATAAGGTGTAGTTCTTTTGTTTGTTTGTTTTTGAGACAGAGTTTCACTCTGTTGCCCAGGCTGGAGTGCAATGGTGTGATCTCGGCTTTACTGCAACCTCCGCCTCCCAGGTTGAAGCGATTCTCCTGCCTCAGTCTCCTGAGTAGCTGGGATTACAGGCACGCGCCACCGTGGCCCTGCTAATTTTGTATTTTTAGTGGAGATGGGGGTTTCTCCCGTTGGTCGTCTGGTCTTGAACTCCCAAACTCAGGTGATCTGCCAGCCTTGGCCTCCCAAAGTGCTGGGATTACAAGTATGAGCCACTGCGCCCTGCTGAAAGTGTAGTGTTTTTACCGTTTTACTCTTTTGTACCTTTTGAGTTTTGTGCTGAGTTCATTTATTATGAGTTAATGTGAAGTATTTAAATTAGTACTGGCACATAGTAAGTGCTATTGTAAATGCAAGCTATTATTATTATTATTATTTATTTATGTTTTTTTTTTCTTTTTCAGACGGAGTTTCACTCTTGTTACCCAGGCTGGAGTGCAATGGCGTGATCTCGGCTCACTGCAACCTCCGCCTCCTGGGTTCAAGCAATTCTCCTGCCTCAGCCTCCTGACTCACGCCTATTATTTTTTAAATCATGTAAATTCTTTTGAGGAGAGACCAGGAGAGGGGAATGGGTGAGGCACTGAGCAGGGCTTTGGGTTGGAGCTGGTATATGGCCAGGCCTGAAAGGAGAAAGGCAGGGTTCCTGGGCACCTCCAGGAACTCCAGGAGGTATAGGATGCAGCCCTCCTTCAGACAAGCTGAGGACACACTCCCTAACAAGACCCCAGAGTTCCAGAGCGTTGTGGAAGCCAGTGGAAGCTTCAGGAGAGTCCAGAGATATGGCGCACTCAGCTCTCTACAGAGGAATCTGAGAGGAGGGCACAGAGTTATTTCAGAGGACGCTGGCAGGACTCACCCTGGGCTCCTTGAGGACAAGGTCTGCATCCTCTGGGGTTGGCTGAATGACCTTCCCGATGCTGCGCCTGGCCTGTCACCTGGGCAATCTGACAGCTTGTGGGGTAGCATGACCTGCACCAGCAAGGGTTGGAAGGAGCACAGAGCTTGGCTTGCTTCTGTGTGTGTCTTTTGTTTGTTTGTTTCACTCTTTTTATTTTTATTTTTTGAGACAGAGTTTCGCTCTTGTTACCATGCTGGCGTGCAATGGCGTGATCTCGGCTCACTGCAACCTCCGTCTCCTGGGTTCAAGGCAATTCTCCTGCCTCAGCCTCCGAGTAGCTGGGACTACAGGTGTGCGCCACCAGTGCCCAGCTAATTTTTGTATTTTACTAGAGACGGTGTTCCACCATGTTGACCAGGATGGTCTCAATCTCTTGACCTCGTGATCCACCATCTCGGCCTCCCAAAGTGCTGGGATTACAGTTCGTGAGCCACCGTGCCCGGCCTTGTTTGTTTCACTCATTGTTGCCCAGGCGTGGAATGCAATGGTGCGATCTCGGCTCACCACAACCTCTGCCTCCCGTGTTCAAGCGATGCTCCTGCCTCAGCCTCCTGAGTAGCTGGGATTACCGGTATGTGCCAACATGCCCCAGCTAATTTTGTGTTTTAGTAGAGATGGGGTTTCTCCATGTTCGTCAGGCTGGTCTTGAACTCCCAACCTCAGGTGAACCACCTGCCTTGGCCTACCAAAGTGCTGGGATTACGGCGTGAGCCACCGTACTTGGCCTGTGTGTGTCTTCCTCGACCTTTGTGGCTGCTCTTCTGCTGACCAAGCTCCTTAGGGAGCACTTGGTAGCTTAGGACAGTCTCACAATTCCTCTGGAATGTATCCGGCCTGAGGAATGTAGGGTGAAGAAATCGCTTTGCTTGCTCTATTTGGATTGCCAGGAGAGGATGTGGAAGAAGGGCAGCTTCTGCACTGGAGAGAGGGTGCCACAGATCAGGGTAGGTGGCTTGTGATGATTTATGTGGTTTGTTTCTCCCCAGTGAGAACTCTTGAGAGAGAGTTCCTGAAGGAGTTGCTCACTTCACACGTGTGCACCCTGGAGGACAGGGTGGGAAAGGGGAAGAATCTCAGGGGAGTGAAAGGAAAAGCCATCCCGGAGGCATGGGAGAGAAAACCAAAGCCGAGTTCTCTTCAGGAGAGTTTTCTGGGCCTCCCCCCTCAGGCATGCTTACCGATAAGGACACGTGCATTTCAAAATCACACCGTGGAAAAGCTCGCCTCAGTCACAATAACAGAAATTCAAACTAAGGCTATTCCAAAAAAGCATTTTTCGCTTATCAGATTGGCAAGAGAGGAAAACACATGGTGTTGGCGAGGATGTGGGGAAATGGGCTCTGTTTTTCTGGAGGAAGGTAACATTGGCACAACCTCTATGGAGAGCATTTGGCAATAGCGGCTGTCCTAGTTGGCTCTAACGAAGTACTAGAAGCCAGTAGTTCATAAACCACTGAACTTATGAACAACGGAAATTTATTTCTCTCTCTTTGTTTTTTTTTCTTTCTTTTAGAGACGGGGTCTCACTATGTTGCCCAGGCTGGAGTGCAGTGACTATTCACAGGTGCAATCCCACTCTGATCACGGGAGTTTTGACTTGCTCCATTTCCGACCTGGGCCGATTCATCCCTCCTTAGGCAACCTGGTGGTCCATATTGAGGCTGAACTTAGTGCAGACACCCGATCCGCATAGCGCACTATAGCCCAGAACTCCTGGGCTCAAGTGATCCTTCCACCTCAGCCTCCCGAGTGGCTGAGACTACAGGCATGTGCCACTGCGCCAGCAGAAATTTATTTCTCACAGTGCTGGGAAGCCCAAGATGAAGGCAGATTCATCATCTGGTGAGGGCCTGTTCTCTGGCTTACAGAAGGTGCCTTCTCACTGTATCCTCATACGGTGGAAGGGCAAGGCAGCCCTCTGGGGCCTCTTAAACTAATTAATTATTATTATTATTATCATTTTTGTATTTTAGTAGAGACAGGGTTTCACCATGTTGGCCAGCCTGGTCCTGAACTCCTGACCTCAGGCGATTCATCCGCGTCAGCCTCCCAAAGTGCTGGGATTACAGGCGTGAGCCACCGTGCCAGGCCCGTTTTTAATTTTTGTGGAGATTAGGGGTCTCACCATGTTACCCGGTCTGGTCTCAAACTCCTAAACTCAAGTGATCCTCCTGCCTCAGCCTCCCAAAGCATTGGGATTGCAGGTGTGAGCCACCGTGGCTGGACTAGAGGCACAAATCCCATTCACAAAGGCTCTACCCTCCTGACCTAATTACCTCCTTAGAGGCCCACCTCCTAACATTATCACCTCAGGGATTTTCATATACACGTGGGAGGGGGGAACACAAACATTCAGGCCACAGCAGCTACAAACACAGGCTGGGAATTCTCCTTCTAGAAAGTTGCCCTGCAGATATCCCAACAAAGAAGCCTCCTGTCAGCCACCATTGTTTGCTGGAAATGGTCTCAATTTCTCTAAATAGAAAACTGGTCATAAATGAAGATAAGACATACAATGGAACACTCTGCAGCCACCAAAACAAATGAAGTTCTTTCCCTTTCTGGAGTGACCTCCAAGAGACAGGAAGTGGGGAAAGCAGCAAGTGCGGAAGAGCGTGTTCAGTATCCTACCACTCATGTAAAAACACGGAAAATGTGTCTGTATTTGCTGGACATGCACAGACCACCTCGAGAGGATGCTTCAGAAACGGGTATCACCGGTTGCATGCTTCGAGGGGACGTGGAATCTCAGAACAGCTTTCCTCTTTATGGGAGTCTCCATCTCCTTTAGGCTGGAGAAAGGCAATACCTCCTCCACTCATCCAAGAAAAGAGCTCACTCTGCTGCTCTGCAAATGTGATGGGTGGACACGTGGTTAGGAGAGAGCAGGGTCATACCATGTAGTGGCTTGGTGACCTCACACAAGTTACTTAGCTTCTAAGCCTCTGTTTCCTCCTCTGTTAAACAGCAAAAATAATACTACTATTAATAAATGAGGCCAGGCACAGTAGCTCACGCCTGTAATCCCGGCACTTTGGGAGGCCAAGGTAGGTGGATCACCAGAGGTCAGGAGTTCGAGACCAGCCTGGCCAGCATGGTAAAACCTCATCTCTGCTAAAAATACAAAAATCAGCCGGATGCAGTGGCATGTGCCTGTAATCCCAGCTACTTGGGAGGCTGAGGAAGGAGAATCACTTGAACTCAGGAGGTGGAGGTTGCAGTGAGCTGAGATCCCACCACTGCACTGCAGCCTGGGTGACAGAGGAAGACTCCATCTCAAAAAAAAACAATAAATTGAATTATGTGTAAATGGGGATAATCATTTTCCCTACCTCACTAGGATATCATGAGGATGAACCTTTAATCTCTGTGAAGTGCTTAGCACCGTGCCTGGCGTATAGGAAGTGTTCAGCAAATGAATTTGTTCCACATACATCATATTTTCTCCTCTGCACTTCTGACCCCTATGGGATCAAAATGAAAACTCCTCGGTGACACCAACGAGGTCATTTTCAACCTTCGCTGCCACACTCAGCCCTTGCCACTGCCTTATATCCTGTGTCCTGTGTTCACTCTGCCTAGAATGTCCTTCCTTCCTTTGCTTGACTTGGTCAAAGTCCACCTTAAATGTCACCATCCCTAGGATGATCCTCCTGAAGCCCCAGCCCAGAAAGAGTTTGTGCTCCCTCCTCTATGATGGCAGAGTCTCTGGGTGCTCCTCTGTGGGGCATCATCACACAGAACAGTGACTACGTTCCCGGTTCCAGCCAATACACACACACTTGTTTTTTACTACAGAATGAATCAGGAAAACAAACAAACAAAAAAAAACCATTCAACTCAACTCAAATAAAATTGCAATAAGACATGTCTGTCCTCCTATCAAACTAGCAATGTTCAAGAAGTTCTACACTGAGGTGGCAAGAAGACAGCGCTCATGCAGGAGTGCCAACTGGCACACATTTGACACCTGGGCGACATCTGTCCACATTCAGTGGACACCCATAACAAAAGGGCACAGGCAGAAAGCTGCTCATTGTATCAATGCTTCAAAGAACAGAGGGCTGGAAACTACCTAAACGCCCATCAGCTGAGGACTGGGAAATCCGTTATGGTCGGAGTATACAGCAACCTTGCAGCCACAGAACAGAGACGCTCTTTATTATTGACATGGAATGCCACCAAAAAATATGCAGAGAAGTAGAAAAAAAAAGCACGGATAGTTTCTACAGTCACTGCCATTGTGGAAAACAGGGAGAAAATACATACAAGTATTGTATTTGATGCACAGAATATTTCTGGAAGAACACATGAGGTCATATTAACAGTCACGCAGTATCAGCTGCCAGGAATGAGGTCTGAGCTTCTGGGAAACAGGGGAGGAGGAAGGTATTTTGTTATCATTTATATCTTTTTCTCTTTTAACTTTTATGCTGTAGACATATATTATCTGTTCAAAATTAAATAGCTTTTTAATAAAGGAAAAAAAGAAAAGGTAGTAATCAAATGAAGATAAGGTAACCCACAAGCTCCAAGAGGAGGAAAAATACCTTGAGTTTGTTTCCAGGAGGGCGAGGGTCCATGGCAAAGCTTTACTCTGGGGCCAGCTGCAGCCCCACTTGCACCTGGGCACTGTCAGTTGATGTTGGGAGAATTAAGAATGTTTTTCAGTATGCGCCTGAGTAAGACAGAAGAATGAGAAACTCACTATCAATAGCTGAGGAAAACTCGTAAATGAATGCATAACAAAGTTTAAAAGAAACAGAATGTGTGCCAGCCTGGCCAACATGATGAAATCCCGTCTCTACTAAAAATACAAAAATTAGCCAGATGTGGCGGCGGGAGCCTGTCATCCCAGCTACTCGGGAGGCTGGGGCAGGAGAATCTCTTGAACCCAGGAGATGGAGGTTGCAGTGAGGTGAGACCGCACTATTGCACTCCAGCCTGGGTGACAGAGCAAGACTCTTGTCTCAGAAAGAAATAGAATGTGTGGCCCCAGGGCTCTTTCTTTATGGCAAAAACTGACAAGGCTCAGAGGGTTCTTTTTGTACCCACAAAGCTACTTCTAAGAGCCTCTGAAGCCCCTCACCATTGATTTATTATTTATTTAATATATGAATTTATGTACAATATATAATTTTAATCATAGTATATACATTATTTTTGCATCCTGATATTTTCATTTAATATGTAATTTACATTTTTCCATTTCATTAAGTACTCTGGGGCTTCCGAAAAAGCATAAAAAGGGAGAACAAGAGGGGGGGGGGGAGGGGGGGGGAGACAGGGCAATCGAAATCTTTTCATTGGTTCCAGACATTGAATTATTTAAAGACAACATGTGTGGTACTATATAAGGGGGGGGAAATTTGAATACAATATTATAGTATACAAGACATTGTTACATTAGACCGGGGACCGCAAAAGGTGTGGGTACTCTAAGGGTCCTTATAGATGCCCGGAATCGACTGTGTGGGACATAGTAGAGGCCGAATGGTGGTGGAATCTCTGATGGATCGTCAGATCTGAAGTTACTGTGAGCACCAAGCTGACCTAAGGGTCAACACATGGGTCTCAGTCCGCGTATGGCTCTACTAAGAGAGCTAACCAAAAAATATGTGCTGAGCATGGGAAGGGTGTGTGCATATAGTGCCTATGTGACAATCCCAGCTACATCAGGGACTGGAGCGAGGATAAATTGTGCCTTACCGCCAGGAGGCGGAGGGAAGAGTGTTGGTTGTCAATGTGCCGAGAGATCAAGTCTCATTCGCACTCACAGCACAACAAGGTGGAGTGAGGCACAGGAAAAAGCATGCGAGAGACACTCGCATCTC